TATGGTTAAATTAATTTCTTGTTCCATTAACCAGAATTCTTCAAGAAAAATAACTCAATATTTACATATAGATATAGTAATAGTTAATTATATTATAACATATACATAGGTGTATCGTACATATAAATATATACCAATATTTTAAGTAATTTTCACTGGGTGGCACTTCAATAAAATTGTCTACCAGAGGAACATAGAAGGGAATTCAACACTTCTATCTCCGCACAGCTATTGGCTTGGAGATGACCAACTCTTATAATAATGATAATTTTGTATTAAGTATTTCTGTTGTAGTTGGAATAAATAAATAAATAATAATAAAAATAAAAATATCAACAATTTTAATATAGGTTTATTAACTGAACTGTACCTACTGAGAAATATATCTAAAAGTTTTATTTAGGTTTGTTTACTGAACTCTACTGATATATATTATATGATAATCTACATAACCGATTTTTTATAATAAAACGGGTACCTAAGGCAATTTTCTACTAATATAGTGAGGTTAGTTTAAGGTTAGAGGCGAATTTAACGCGGTGAGGTCGTGGTGTTGTGGATAATCATAAAAATCAATCGACAATCACAATGAACTATGAAGATAATCCAAAAAGTATTATGCTATTATAAGCATAGATAATATTCTATCTAATATTCTTATATTATCTATGATTATAAGATACTGAAATAGTTGTTGGTACATACACATCATACATACACGCTACGACACTGGTACATCCGTACATAATCCGTACTTCCGTACATCAAACGAGTATTTCCGTGCTATGAAATATGAACACTCCAAAATAATTGTATAAATTTAATAATATGAAATTTACCTGTACGGTGTATTGTCGCGTGTCTTATTAATCAGGAGCACAGGACGCAAATAAGTAGAAAATCAGAAATGTAGTAACATAGCACGTTATTCTCACCCAGCTTTCAATTTATGAATACTAATAATTATGATCGTCATCGACAACTTCCGAAGAAATTGATAACATTGTTAAAATTACGTGTATTATTTTCGTATTACGTCTATATCTATTCGTATTTTATATCAATGTATATATTTATATAAGCATTATAAGCAATTCCGGCAAAGCTATAATTGTGTGAATGTCACATGTTCTACATTCAATAAAATATTATTGTTAATCATAATATAATATGCGATAAACTATACATAAGAGTCGAGACTCGAGAGCTTAAAATAGTTTTATGTTCCTTATATATATTATTATGTACATAATCATTTGCATTGGCATCGGTCGTTATGAGAATGCGTTGGTCAGTGGCACGAACACCACCACTGGGGAGTATTCAAATTTCAAATATCGCTGGGGGAGCACTAGTGCCACGTACTTTGTATGTTAACATATGCTCTGAAAATACCATACCATACTGTGCCATACGGGCAATTTGTAATAATAATAATAAATAATTAATAACTAAACTAATAAATAATAATTTACAATATTCTCAGGAACATAGGTATTGTAAAATATTTTCTGCATAAATAGGTTATTTTCAAATTAAAAATAATTGGGTTATGCTCATGTATATTTATATTTCAAATGTTTATATTTATAAACAGTCAATATTGTCAGTAGACAAAATAGTCATTGGCCACAAGGGGTTCACTTTTCGTTCTCGGTTCTCTTAGCAAGCAAGATTTACAAGATTAACTTGACTTAACTCGGTTAAAAATTATCATTAACTTGCCCAGGCTTGGAGTTTTGAGCCATGGCTTAATTTCTTAAGCACGAATTATTAATAAATAAATCAAATTAAATAGCAAACTGTTTTTATCGTAAGCTATAAGAGCAGCAACAAATTCGATCATTCCAAGGTCACTATATAATTAATCTTTAACTAATATGTACACCTAACGTATAACATTATTGTGCGTACACTTGTACAGTGTACATACCTACACTTTTTTTTTATCTGACTTATTAAATCAGTACTCACCTAATAAGTTCAAATATATATTACATATATTAAAGACACAACTTAATTTTCAAAATAATTAATATCAAATACTGTAATCGTAATGCATTGAATTAACATTAGTTCGATGGTATAAAGTATAAACACATTAAATTGTAAAATTGAATTATAACGTGATAAATCATAATGATGAAATGAAATATTATGGTACATTATATGATTAGTGTAGATAATTTATATTTAGGGTTGGGAAAGAGCACAACTACAAATCATTCTAAAATAATCTATCTTAGTACAAGTTACAATGTTACAGATATAAAACAATATAATATGTATTTTTAAATAAATGAAAAATAATTATTATAATTTATTTACGACCTAATTAATTTAGTTAAAAATATTATAAATTTAAACTAGACGTACGGCTACATAGGTACATCATGTAAAGTAGTTTATATTAATTCTATTTATATATTACTTGATATAGGTATCTATAAGAATTAAACTAATAATATTAAAAGTATAAAATATATAAATAAATAAATAAATAATCAGAGTTGGTTAAAAACATGGTTTTTTTTAAAAAAATCAAAAAAATTGTTTTAATCGTTTAAAACATGATTTTTTTGTTTAAAACTTTTTTTTTAAATGATTTTTTCAGCTGTTTTAAACATGTTTAAAACATGATTTAATCGAGTTTAAAACAAAATATGTAATTTATTTTAAAAAAATTCATTTATTTAATAATTTAATATCATAATTTTTTTATAACTTGACGTGTAATTTAACCACGGCTATCGGTTTTACACTTAAAAATCGTTTTTTAATATTTTGATAATGATTGATGATAAAGAACTGATCTGTTATCCTTATCTACATAGTGATAAAGAATACTGATTACTGTATTTACTATTTTCAATTTTGGCGGGTTTGCGCCACAATATTTCCGATTATAAAAGATGATAAAGGTAATAAATAATAATATGATATGATAATATGTAATTTAAACAAATAAATAAATAATTAATAAATATATTACCTACAGAACTACAGAAGTAATATATTATAATATAACCATTGAAGTGTTAGTAATTTAAATAAGTAAAATTATCATTATACATTTTATAAATTTTAAATTTTTTTATGAAATAAAAAATAAGAATAAATAGGAGTGCCAGTATGAACTTACAAATAATAAGTTATATGCACATAAATGATGATTTTCTGTTTTAAACTGTTTTTTTTATGTTGTTTAAATCATTTGTTTTAAACGTTTTAAACAAAACCATGTTTGATCAATTTAGATGTTTAAAACATGTTAAACATTTTAAACATCTCAACTCTACTATAAATATATAATTCACATAGAAATATTTACCAAGTTGTTTGAAATAAAAAAATATTATATTATATAAGTATTACCTTTATGCTTGTTCTAAAATTATGTGTAGATTTCAGTGTACCAGATAAAATACATTGTTTGCCGTTACATAATTGACATAATAATATTGGTTGTAGATTTTCATAAACATTATTTTTTTTATACTTCAAAATAAATTCAGTCAAAAGTCTAAATTCGGAGGATAAAGTGTTTCACCGATTTCACTCATCATATGAAATAAAAAACCAAATGCATAAGCTATAAGACGTCGTAAGTATATTAAAATAACATTAATTAAATAACACACAGTTTCCTCAGAAATAACAAACTAGACTGCCGTACTACTAAAGACTGAAATAATGCTACAAAAGCTAAAGTCCAACACATATTTGGTCGGACAAATTAATATTGGTTATCAGCGATATTTAAAGTGTACCAATTTGCCATATTATGCCAATTGAAATGACTATAGGTAATGATGATTAGGCAGTGGAAGTCTAACAATATTAATGACACATGTCTTATTTTAATGTGTACCTAACTGTTCATCAACTACCTAGATACCTTTAATGTATTTCTATTATGGGAGGATTTATCGTACTATTTTTTTTCCTTTGGCCCACGCACAACACAGAAAATTGTGTTGTTACTTGTTACCTTGAGTATTAAAAACAAAAACCAACTCACAATCGACCTTGGACCTATTATCAAATTTTAATTTAAGAACATTATTATAAGCTATACAATTAACAGTATTATATTAATATAAAAAAAAATTGTTATCGAGTGTATGAAATTCTGATTACATAAATATAGATAAACCAACAATAATAAATATATAAATTGTATGAAGTGTCGGTCGATAAGTATTCACTCAGATCACAAAACTACTTAAGGGGATTGGAAGCAGCGATTATCTGTCTTTCTCTAACACACGTTCAACATAGGAATATAGGATTATAGACGTGTTCTATTTCCAACGTACTGATTAATCTAGTGAAGCGATAAGAACTCTGTAAACAGATTTGAATTTGTCGTCAAGTCTACTTGAGATCGACTTCCCCACATTTTTGATATTATCCCCCAAAAATCATAAAAATGATATATTAAAAAAAGTAATTAAAAAAATGCCATATTTCAATTTTTGGAGAAGTTTTAATCAAAATATTAAAAATGTGGGAAATTCGATCTCAAGTAGACTTGGTGACAAATTCAAATTTGTTTTCAGAATTCTTATCGCTTCACTAGATTAATCGGTACGTTGGAAATAGAACACGTCTATAATCCTATGTTGCAAGTGTGTTAGACAAGGACAGAAAATCGCCGCTTCCAATCCGATGGCTTAATCCTAATTCCTAGCTTTCCAAACGTATAGACTTAATGCAATATGAGGATTCTTACTGCATATGTTCCTATAAAAACTACAAATTATTGTAATATTATATCATAGTAGACACTTATGTTATAAATAGAATAATAAATTATGACTAGATTATAATTTTTTTTTTTTTTTCATAATATAATATAGTTTATAATATGTATTGTCCTAGATATAGGTATGAATCTATGAATGTTCAAAACATAAAAGTGTTTAGTAAGTACCTAAATAAGTACCTATTTGCTCGATATTTATATTATCCAATTTCCAATGTATAAAACGATAAAATTATAGTTCAGTTTTTATGTCTGCTATTTTTCGTGACATCGTTTGATTTAGACGAAAATTGTAAGGCAGTTGGTTCCAGAATTTATATTTCTCGTCGAATGGATTTTGTATGATTTTTGGTTGGGCTGAATCAATGTGTAAAACGCTAAATCGTTCATCGTAAGTAAATGTTGGCCAAGCAGTTCCGGTATCTGTCCCATCAATAGTAGGAGTACTGAAACATATTTATTTCTATATATTTACGAAATACATTGTAATCATAGAATAAACATAATTCCTACAAAGAGTTTGTATTTCTTTCTATAATGGTCAACCTACTAGTAAAATACTATAATGTATCAAAAATAAAACATGATTGGTTTAAAATTAAATTATTAATAGCCCATAGTACTAGGGTCTGTGGATTAAATGTACATTATTCAAATATTTTTGCTCACTGCTCAGTACTCAAAATTAATTGCACATCTAAATATCTGATAATGATAATAATAATATTACGGGTATACATTTAGGTACTTACTCAGAAGTCACAAATCTATACCAAATATTGACCATTAGTCTGGAAACTTTGAGATGGTCCGCGTTTAAATCGTTTGGATTTAAATTATTATTTTTGAACAGACTGTTTAGTTCATCCGCGTGAGTGACTCCTAGACTTTTTTGGCATGAGCCGAAAAGTTTGTTATACGAAAACTCATTTTGATAATCATAATAATAACTGTAGACTGGCGACGACAATTTTTTTGCCATATCAACTATGCAGTGAGTAAAACATCCATCGCCTATCATCTGAAATCATATGTTACGGATATAAACCGTGTGTCCGTGAAGACTGGGTACAGACTATAACTCTTAGTTACCTAAACTACTCAGCACCCTATACATATTTTAGAATTCTGTCTACTGGAGATTTATGACCCAATAAAGATTTAATGTCCCCGCAAACAGAATTCAAAAATATGTTTAGGGTACCTACTGAGTAAAATGGGTAATCATACAGTGTACCCGGTTTTCGTGGGTACACCGGTATATATTATATATATTATAATATACATTAAAACGAAAATATTTGTTTAGGTTTAAGTATTATAGGTATACATTATTGAGTTTATTACGTTAACCGCATTCGAATGTGTATTGTCGTCCAATCTTCCTGATGGAAAATATTCTTTCAACACTCTTTCTCCGATTTCGTCTAAATCTTCCGGTCGTGTGTACTGGTTGTAAAATAGCATAATTGACAATATACGGTTGAAATACGTCTGGAACTCAGTGTATATCAAAGAAGTGCTGTTGTACAGAGCTACACCAACAGAAAATATAAACAAGTCATATACATAATATGTACGCGTCAACCAAAAGTCAAGAATTTATTGATGGGTTTTCAATATTATCGATAACTAGGGCAAACATTTTCTTGCCCTAAAAAAATATTTAAAATGATTTAAATATTGCATTTCTGGCCTTAATAATATACGTTAAAAATCTGAACTTATACAGTGGGAACAGAAAACGGATGACCTCAAATAATAATTAAAAATTAAAAAATTTCCTAAAAAAGTGTTTAAAAATAAACTCGTTTAAGAAAAAACTCGATTATTGGTCCGTTATAAAACATAAATAAACTAATGCAGAACCATCTAGTAATATTACCATATTGTGCACTAACAAGTTGTCTACCTTAAATTATATAAAAATATTAGTAAAAATTATGAAATCGGTAGATACCTATTTGTATTGAAAATCAATCAAATACTGAAATACAGCTAAAAATACTGCATTTCCTAGAATACATTTTTGGTAAACAATATATGGAAGCATACTAGGAAACAAATTAATTTTGCATTCAAATTCTGGCTGAGACACGATTGAGCAAAAAACACCTTTTTTAGGACACGATTGAGCTAAATTGTCGGCGTATCAAAGGAAATCGGAATACAAAAGAAAACCTACACGATTGAGCATAAAAAAACTCTTCAACGGTGCCATTTTCTATTTAAAACTATATTATACAAAAATATTTATTTAAATAATTATAATAATTCAAAATATAACACATCAAAAAATTAACATGATTTCATAGTCAATAATATAGTCACATTTCATAAATCTGTTTGATTATAATTATAATGATAATGATAATAATAATAATAGTTATGAAAATATAATAAAATCAAAATATGGTACGAATTAAAAAAAATACTGCATGGCTTATAAGTCAAGAATACGATAGAGTAAGGTGATCGAACACTGATATTATATCTATAAACAAATTTGGAATTGTATCTCAATTTATTATCTTATTTTTTCCCCCAATTTTAAATGTTTGAAACGTCGGAACTTTATTGCTCCGAATTCCGGAACTAATTTATTATAATCGATAACATTGTCGATAAAGCTGGGCTCAGCTCATGGCTGGTATCATAATAATTAGTGTAATAATACGTGAAAATAATTAATTACAAAATTTCGGCCTCGTGAATGTGGCAACATCGCATAAAATACTCTTTGCTCAATCGTGCTTTACCGCAAATTCTCACCCTAGTAATAAGCAATAACACTTTAAACAAGTTTTCATAAACAAGTGATGTTTTATAGATATATTTTAATTAATAATGGACCACAGAATAGATTAAATAGATTTCATCTATTCTGTGATGGAACTTACAAGCCACAAACAGACCACCTTCAGCTGAATTCAGACCAACAATAGCAGGTACAAACGACTCTTGTTTAAAATCGTATATAGGATGATGGCAGAGAAATGCTTCTTGACCAGAATTACAATTTTCGACGACAGGATTAAACTGTACACACGGATGCGAAAGCCATGCCTTAATCATAGACCAAATATTAAACATTTCACCGAAAATCTTTATAAAACTTTTAACATATAATACATATTATAAGAAGTGGACCACACAAAAAAAATGATTTTTGAATAAGCAGTACCTCGGTCATTTTTAATCTAAAATAATTTTATTTTAATATTTTCTAAGACAGTTTCATTACATTGGGGAAGAAACACGCTGGCCGCCTGGCCCGCTTGAACAGTAACCCTCGAAAATATTGTGTAGGAATATTACATGTGATTATCTAATTAAATAAGCAAATCAAATTGTTTTAACTTAATAAATAACCAAGTATATAGGTACCTACTACTCAAACAAAATCCTCTGTTTTCCGTGGGATACCCTGTAGATTATCTAAGTTAAAAACCGTAGAGTATGTCATCATTATATTATAGTTTATAAAATATAAATGATTTATATTACTTAGAATTTTTCATTTTATTAAAATATGTCTACATTGGAAAAAATACAAAATTGGAGAAACAATAATTCATGAAATAGTTTAATTTAATTGTACACTTACATATAATCTGTTTTGAAGGTCGATGATATAGTCGGCTGATAGTTTTCTCAAGCATTGCAATATGTCCTCGGAAGTATCGAAATTACACCCGGCGATAAGTGCTACCGCGTGTGCGCGCTTACGAGGAAGTCCAATAGGCGAAACAGCCCATTTACAAACTGGACTACCACTTTGAAGTATAACTTTATGAAAAAGACCTTTACTAATCGGTGATAACATATGAAATCCTGTACTAGCGCCTCCTGCTCTTTCGCCAAATATTGTCACTTGACTAGGATCACCGTTGAAATGAATGATGTTTCTCTGTACCCAACGTAAAGCCATCACTTGATCTTTCATTCCATAGTTGCCGGGTATCACATCATCCTCGGTACTAAGGAACCCTTTACAAGCACACATTAATTGAATAATAACTAAAGTCTAAAATACACATATGAATGAATTGTGATAGTGTTTTTTTTTAAACTTGTTTTAACTGTTTAAAAATAAATGTGTGACTAAAACATTTTAATATAATATAGGTATATTTAAATTTTTTTTTAAATTTTAAATCAAGTTATGAACATTTTAAAATTGCAAATCTCTATTTTACCTAAAATAATATGATGTGTAGCTGGGAAATATATAATTTTTTCAATAATTCGAAAACATTTTTTTCAGCCAAAATTAAAATCCCCCTTTGTATATTCCCATGACTTACCTAATACACCGAGCCTATAATTTATAGAAACAAGTAGCACGTCTTTGTCCATAAAATATTCAGGTCCATGTATGCCAGGCCCACCACGGCCACGGGAAAAAAAACCACCGTGAATCCAAAACATTACTGGTAAAAACTTTTTATCAACTTTTGGAGCGAACACGTTTAAGTACAAACAATCTTCGTGGCTATCTGCGACATATTTTTGAATGCATATCTTGTTCGATTCTCTGGAGGCATCTAATGTTCCGTTCCAAGGTTCGACTGGTTGTGGTGCCTTTAATAGATTTAAAAAAAAAATGCAAAGATGCAATCATTTTATTACCTTGGGGCTGAGTTTTTTTTAGTGTGCTGCAGTGAGACACATTTTGTGCAGTATGAAGATAGTAATTGTGTAGTGAAAATACGAGCATAGGGGGGAGGATGGAGCCGCTCCTGACAGTTCAACGGATAGTTGAAAGATAATAGTCCTTAAGGTTTAGTCTGGGTAGATAAATTCCCTACTATAACACAAGAGTGGGAATAAGTTTGTAGCGTTTGCGCAGTCGGAAAAAATCATTAAAAAAAAACCCTGCCTTGGGGGTAGTGTGATCAGACTTCACAATTTTGGCGGGACAGTAACGGTTGTCCAGCTTATATCTAAGAAGTCAAAGTGATATTGAATGAAAATAATTAGAAAATGTTTACTGAAACAAATATGCCAGCCATGATTGTTTTTTTTATGCAAACTATTTTAAACAACTTATGTAGGTAATATATAATCGTATGATAAATTTTACGCGAATAAATTTAGTGTCGGTAGGATATGTCTCCACTCAATTATGTATTTTATGTAATTTAACATTTCATGTGAGGAATTCTTAATTTAAAATAATTAATTTAAGTGATTTCCCGTTTTATGCGTGTATGGAATATAAATAGTAAATATTATATTCAATGTTAATACCTTAAACCTTAATTCTCCAATTGGTGGTTTTGCATATGGTATACCGGTATAAGAGTAATAAGTCCGTCCATCTCTCGACTGTAGAACTTGCCCTTTGAGAATTCCATCCGCAATTCTGACTTCTAACTCACAGCACACCAATTTTAAAAAAAGTATCCATACGATATAAATACATCTCATATTGATCTGTTGATCTAAATAAATAATAATAAATTAAATTGTGATGTATATAGTGGGTTGCGAATATATTGAATATATAAATCACACATAAATATTGTATACAAAGCACATGCCTACCTACTTATTATTTATAAAAATTTTTGTATTTTATTGTTGTTACCTTCAACAATTAATACAATCAGCTCTCATTATAAATTATATTTACAATTAACTCGCTATTACATACTCACATATTATAGATATTATCATAACATTATATTATATACCTAGGTACTACAGTTGGTTGATGGTTCTATAATAACTAATACGTTATAACCAATAGTACCTACTACCTACATGATAACATAACTACAATTATTTTACAAGTTTCCACAAAAACAAAAACAATTCAAATAATTGAATTAAAATAGTGTTTGAAATCTTCATTAAATTATAATATACCTGAGTACCTGCGACTAGGTACCTGAGTAAATCTGAATATTTTTTATAACCCATGTATTTTAAGTATTTGAATGAATAAATTATAAGTAAAAAAATAAATGCACGCCTGTAACCACTGTCAATTATTACTATACATACCACAATTATATATTGAAATTGTACTTAAATTAAATGTTTTAAAAAAAAAACTATTTAGCTCAATTACGTTTAATTAGAAATATTTTAATCATTTTAACTAAAAGTCTAAAACTATAAACTTTTCTTAATTTAAACAATACTAGGTTAATTAATTCAAGTTCATCTAACGCACAGTTGATCCCTACTAATGTGAGAGACGTCGAGACACTACCTAGTGCCTCCACAGTTAGGTTACACAGTCCACAGTCCACCTCAAGGATTGTTTGGCTAACAGACTTAGCCAAAGGCTCGACCGTCGCGCCATCCGGTGGAAAAAATTAAGAGGCACGAAATAATAATATTTTAACAATTTTTACAACAGTTAGTTCCAAGACAATTAAAAAAATAATATTTATTTATAAAATAAATTTGCAAATAATATAATCCCTAGTTACAAATGTAATGAAAGTTTAATTTTTAAAGCTATGCCTTGTAAATTTAATAAAAGGTTCCTCATACGTAGTTATTATGCTGGAACCAAAAAATCTAAAAAACAAAATTTATTAATTTATTTAGACTATGTATATAATAGTCTTGAATTTTTTTATAGACATTTGAAGTAAAAATTTGGACAAAATTACATAAGGTATTTAATTTAAGTTATCAATATATATCAATGTTAGTAATTTTGTTGTAATTCCAAAATATTATTCTGTAGTAAGGGGAAAATAGGTGGTAGGGGAGGTAATGGTTTTTGGTAAAGATACGTGTGTATTATAATAAATATTGGAGATTTCCACGTAAGGTCGCCCTACTACTGTGTAATACCTACCTAATGTTATTTATATTATCTGCGTTATTATAATATAATTCGCACTCCTAGAACAAGACTGCCACAACTCAAAATTCATCAATTTTGAGTTATGACTACTGTTGAATAGAGAAAAATAAGCTCTATAAAATGCAAGAGCGCCACATTCAATATCATTTTTCATTTAGCCACTATAGAGATGTGTCAGTATGGAATTATTTAAATGTTAGTTAATTTTCAATGCAAGAGGGCCATATGTTACTTTATGGCAGTATACTTATTTTTATTTATCCAAATTATCACTGAAGTCAAAATTCAAGACTACCTTATTTCGACTTGTGGCGTTCTTGCACTGAATAAAAACTAATTATCGTGTAATATGTTGAGTGCAAAACAGCAATATTTAGAGTTGTGGCAGTATTGCATTTTATAATTTGTGATACACTGATACTGCAGCCACAACTTCTGTATGAAATACAGTCACATCTCAAAATATGGCAGTCTTGCATTTACTTAAAAAATTATAAATGGCCACAAGTCTAAATTTTTGGGTTTAAGAGTGAATTTCAAAATATTTGAAAAATTAATATTATAAAGAATGATTGTAAGTATTTAAGTGTTAAATTTCAAACGCATAAGTAAAAAACTCATTAAAATATCTAAGGTCCAAACTTCAAATTGATTTTTCTCAAAACTATAAATTTTGAGTTGTAGCAGTCTTGTTCTAGGAGTGCGAATTATGTCAAATCACTTACCTCGTGTGTGGGTTGTAACGATTGCCTTCTGTGATTTAATTGTATTTCTCCGGGGTGGTGTTCGATGATCGATATCACTTTGACTTATATATTTCAAGTATGTACCACGTGACTCTAATTTATACAGTGTTGGGTAAGTTACTTTTAAAAAGTAATCAAGTTACTTTACTCGTTACTAAGAGATAAATGTAATTAAGTTACTTAACTCGTTACTCAAATAAAATTCTAATGAAATTACTTTACTTTTCAAATAGAAAAGTGACTCATTACTTTCTCGTTACAAAAAAGAAATTTTAAATTTCTTGGCAATTATTTTCTGATTGCAATTAACTGTTCTCTTGATTTAGGTGCAATTGGACATTTCTAATGTCAAAACCATTGAAAAATGAATTGTGGAGAGTTAAGATTAAATATATATACATATTAGATTGGTGAACATAATAATACCAGCTGAATACGTATATTTTTTTTTCAATTCGCTATAGCTAGGTAGGTTGGTACTTAATAATTTGAAACTGTAAGGCGTTATTTTATAGAAATTACTTTTCCATTATATTTTCGTTACTTGGAAATAATTTTAATGGAATTACGTAATGCGTTACAAGCAAAGTAACGCCGTTACAGTAATGCGTTACTTTCGTTACGTTACTACCCAACACTGAATTTATACCAATGAACTAAGATGATTTTGTTCTACCTTATGTATCGTTTGGTGATGTTTATATGATTCGAATATTACTCATAAAGTCGTATCGATTCTAAGACACATTTCTTACTTTACTTGCAAATTGGAGTGTAATGTGATTGTTATTTAATTTTGGGAATTGTTTTTACACCTTAGAGATTTGTTGCATTCGCCGTCACCATATAGGACCTCTTACGGACATTGATAACGAACCGAATATAACCTAGCCTGTGAATAGTTAATTTGCAATGCTTTTTACACCTTAGAGATTTGTTATATTCGCCGGCACCATGTAGGACCTCTTACGGACATTGATAACGAACCGAATATAACCTAACCTATGAACAGTTTATTTGCAATGGGATATAATATAATTATAATGTCCTAATCACACTACACTATCAATTGATTATTTAAATTAAAGGTATGACGATGGAAGATAATAATTAACAAGATATTTAATTTAGCAATATGAGACAACTAACTATTAGTGACCATACCTGAATATTCGAATGATACAACATTCATATAAGTTCATAACGCAAAAAGGTAATATATGAGCATATACGAATAATGTGTGTGTGTCGTGATGTTGACTGGCGTGGACCATGTGTATCTCCGGAAAGACACTGGCAACGAGTCGATTCTCTGTGGTCCTATTATATAATATGATTTTGGTTAATCCCTTCTTCTTGTGCATCGATTAATACGTGATATTAAAGTGTTGATATATTTTATTATTTTGTGCGGTGCGGCGCTGGTAATTTATGGTTTTGTTTTGATCAAACGTCTTGATCGGAGAATTATCGAAGGTGTCTTGAAGTATATGATATATATATATATATATATGTACGTATATAATACACGTATGTATGTACACGAAACAATGCGTTCATGATTTTATAATATACGGTGTTTACTGACGCCGCTGATATTTGATTGTGTTGTCTCCACTAAACGTCTGATCGGAGAGGTGTTGAATATTATTTATGTGTTGCATATGCCGAGTGCATGACGTAAGAGGAGTGCGTATAATGTATATTATATGTATCTAATGCGTATGTATGTATGTATATTGGATAACCCACATTCCATAAAATTATCCTTCGTCATTATTTGTCTAGTGTTTTATTCTAAGTCTAAATATTGTATATTACAATTCGTAAGGACTTGAAGTTAAAACTTTTATGTGTATTATGAATTTATAAACTTTACTATACGCAATGACATTTTAAAAATATTTAGATGAATTTTAAGCGATTAACTATTTATACCATGAACCTATTCATACTGTTCTAGGGTAAGGTGGTATTGACTCAAAAGTTAATAACAATCAAGAAAAAATATCATTTTTTTAATATAAAATTGTAATTGTTTTACTATTTAAACTTGTATTATGAAATAAAAAAAGCAGGTAAGTGGATGTTTCTCTACTTTACAGTAGGCTACAAGTGGGTTAATGTATAATGGATTGTATTTAACTTGAATTCAATGATATAATATCATTACGATTCTGAGCGGAGACAGTTTGTCAATCTGGATATTAATTTATATTGTTATTATTTATTATAACCTCTAAGTTGATTTATATTATAATATTATTATTTTTTATTCGTTTCTAATAACAAAGCGTAAGAAATGAAAATTCCTTTTTTTAGCCGGTTTTCGTAGTTTATCGGTGGTTTTGCCAGTGGCATTAAATAACTATTGAGAAAATCGAAAAATGACCTCTCTAAAGTACCATTTTGATCAAATTTTCTAAAATATAAGGTTGAAATCGAAGCACTCCTTCTGGTAGAAATTTTGTATACAGGATAAAAAAAAAATTAAAAATTTACACCATTCTAAACCACTAGCTTCCTCTCTCCGCTCAGAATCTAAAATTTTATTATAACCTATGTGTCAAAACGTAACCTTTTATAATTTTAAACTAAACTAGAAAAATCGGTTCCGAATAGGTTTCCACTGTATTTATCTGATAAAGAGATATAAAAAATCCTATATATTTAAATATTTCAGGCAGTGTCTGAACAAAAATAATTCCTAGTACTTACCACTTAATGTACTCATTTTACAAAGGGAAGGTGAAGAATTTGAAATACTAAGCTGTAGTAGTTTAAGTTATTAGAACAGTAGTACCTAGGTTTGGCCTTTGCCCCTTACATAGTCACAGCTAGAGGGACTAAGCCACTTCCCCACTAGCAGAGTAGGGCGTTATTCAAATTAAATTTTATTTAGATAACATTTTATTCGAATAATTTATAATCCACATGATTTTTTCACAATTATTCGAATAAAAATTTATTCGAATAATTTTCAAACATTGTTATCTGAATAAAAAATTATTCAAATAATTTTCAAACATATAAATATTCGAATAATTTTCGTTCATTTTGTTTGGGTAAACATAGAGTTGGTAATTAAAAATAGGCACATATTATAAACAATAGTTGGCATTGTATTTTAAGTTACATAATTGTAAATTTTATTTTATTCGGAGAAATGTAAAAATATTATATAATATAAAACAAATATAGATCTATTATAGAAGAAAGTAAAGAAATAGATTTTATAATCGAATAATTATAAAAAAATCATTCGAATACATATTTATTTGAATTATTTTCTAGATACAATTTTTCCCAACTCTGCCACCAGTATTGTGTTGGTAAGACACACTAAATTATGACATTATATTTTTAACGTGATGCACCTAAATTTGCTTGTGGCTATATCCCCACCTCTGAATTTTGACCCTATATGTGTTATCCTTCCTGAATTTTTGTTTGAAATAGAACAATTTATCAGTAAATACTGACTAATGTATCAAGAATAGTTTTATATTTTTATATAGAACATTAGAAAGTGCTATGACAAGTTAAAAATAATAATAATAATAAGCAGAAAAATGATTTAATTTATGTACCTATAATCTATATGAATTGTATATTTCTTATGATAACAATAGCGCATGCTGAATACCCGAATGGGATCAACTTACAGCGATAATAAATCATAATTAATAACACACTATTAAATCATAGGTCAATACTTTGATAACAATTTTTTTTTATTTAAGAGTAAACTACAATTGATTTTATTCCGATGATAAATTACATCCGTTAAGAGTGAAGGGACAAAACGCGCTTTAGAAACATTCAGAAGCATTATAGTAAGAGCATTAAATACTTAGAAGATTTATAGGTTTATTTAAGCAACTTATTTTGTTAGAGAATTATTAAAAAAAAAATATTTAGTAAACCAAAAATATAAACTTAAAAATCATTCTTAAAATAAAAAAAAATTGATATCAATATAATATAGTAATTAATAGGTACCTAGGTATATTATTTATTATACATTATTTAAAATAAGTTTTTTTTAGGTTTTATATTTGACGGTTGATATTTTGACACTATTTTAATAACTCAAATTTTTCTCATAGAGTTTACGAGATCAAAATTTGTGTGGTATTTTTGAATCGATACGTTGTTCTTTGGCATTTCGGCACTAATACTATATTGCGATGAACACTCAAATTTCCAACGGCGAATTGCACGGAACTGTAGCTCTGGTAACAGGTGGTGGTCGAGGAATGGGTCTCGCAATCGTCGATGAGTTGCTAAAAAACGGTGCATACGTAAGTAACAAATTAATAAGTAATAACAATAATACAATATAATCCAATTTTAACCAGATTTATAAAATCGGTTTTGATATTTTGTTCTAATCACACTTGAAATTTTTACCAAATGTTTGTATTAAATTTTTTCATTACACGATATAGTTTTCAACGAATCTTTTTCAGCTATTTATATAGAAGTATGAAATTTACCTTTTTTTAGTTTTTTTTTTCTATAATTATCGATAAAAAAAAAACAATTATGATCTGTCTAAAAGGTTGACAATTTAATACAAAGACAATCATGATATACTGGGTTAAAAAAAAATTTAGGGTAAAATCACGAGATTTTTTAAGAGCGCTTGTTCTAACTACTTTTTATACTATTTTTTGTTCAAATTCGTCAAAATCGCGAAAATTAGAAAATTATTTTGTCATTAAAAATCTATATTTTTTTTTAATATTCTTCATTCATTCCTAAGATTTTAAAATCTAATTCAAATTCTTCAAAATGTTGTTATTATGTAATTTAAAAAAAATAGTTTAATATAAAATCACATATACCTACATTTTTTATAAGCGTTTGAAATTAGATTCACGTGTAAAATAACATTTTCTAGTCAAATATTTTTAGTTTTTTTGTTGTATTTTATTAATTATAATTATTAATGGTTGAAACTTGAAAAATTCCAATGTCATTGAAATGATTAGTTTTTATACTTAATACAATTTTCAAAGTATTTATTATCAATTTAAGCTATTTATAAACATTTCAAATTATTGAATTTTTTCTATAAATATTGAAAAAAGGTTTTTCAGGCCGACACCGAACAAAAAGCTTGACAATTTTATACAATATTCCATAAAAGTTCTTCCTTAAACAACTTAAAAATATTTAAAATTCATACAGCCACAACTTTTATTATAAGTATTTGAATTTTAAATTTTGACAAAATATCGACAATTCGCAAATTATTTTCATGTTAAAATTTATAAAAATGTAATGTTCTATTTTTTAGCTAAGACTTGGAAATGTAATACAAGTTCCTCATACGTAATTCATAAGAATAAATATTGAATACAAATTTTTTATAGAGACATTTGAAGTTAAAATTTAGACGAAATTTAATATTTAAACAAATACTAAATATTTTAGTTATTTTATTGTGGCTCAAAAATATTTTTAGTGTGGATTTGAAACGTGTAAGTATATTATTATATTTTGTATAGGTACCTATACACAATGGCATTTTCAAATCATTCGGACTAATTTTACGCTATTGCCTGTTTATAGTTTATTCCGTATATTCCTAATAAAAAAATTAATTAATATAATAATTTATAGCAATATTAAATTAAAATTTTTAATTTTCATTAAGATAAATGATAATAATACATCCGTGAATTTATAAAATATAGAATAACAATAATAGGCTGACAAGCCGTCTCCTCTCCGAATTGTATTTTGTTTAAGTTGTAGGTATATGCAATGATTTATATGCATTGAATTCAAAATTAACACATCCATTAAAATAATCTACTCAATGACGAGGTTAACTTTACTCCTAATGTACAGGATAACGATTACTTATTTTCCAATTTTTGAGGTTCAAATATAATTTAGATGGTGAGCGTGTGGGTGTGTGTATAAGATTTTGTGTAAGTGATGGTATACAGTGGCGTAATTACGGGGGGGGATTTGGGTGTCGTATCCCCCCCCTTGACCATTTTTTTTTTTTTTTTTTTTAATCGTCAAACACATTTATGTACTAATTTTATTAATGTATATTTCATAGATAATACAAAAATCACCCGAATCTCCATAATATTATATAAATATATAATCATCCATCAATATTATCATATACAGTGTGATCACGATTTTAGGTACCACTGAATATCACAGATGGATGACTTTGTATTGAAATGGGGTTTTCGGGAGGTGATAGGGAGCACTTAAATACATATTTTCAGACCAGTTTCAAATTTTTAGCTCACTCGGTACGCGCATGCCGCATGCGCAATATTACTTTTTTTAAATGGCAACCCCAGTTTTTTCTGCAGATTCAGGTAGAGTATTTATTTTTGAACATTTATTGAACATTTATGCATAATTCGTGTTTTATAATATTTTCATTTATAACCAGTTGAAATAATAAAATAAGAGCCAAATAAATGTTTAATGGCGGACGGAAATCGGCCACAACCGACGCCTTAGTCCACTCAGCCCCCCCCCCCCCCTAATCAAACATTTATTTGGCACTTATTTTATTATTTCAACTGGTTATAAATGCAAATTGCATTAAACACGTATTATGAATAAATCCAAAATTTGACTTTCTCTAACTTGGTCAGTTTTATAAATAGAAAAACTTTTAATACAAAAAATGTTTAAAAAAAAAATACTCTACCCGAATCTGTAGAAAAAAAGTGGGGTTGCCATTTAACAAAAAGTAAGTCAAATTGCGCATGCGCATACCGAGTGAGCTAAAAATTTTAAACTGGTCTGAAAATATGTATTTAAGTGCTTCCTATCGGCTATCACCTCCCGAAAACCCCATTTCAATACAAAGTCAGCCATCTGAGATATTCAATGGTACCTAAAATCGTGATCACACTGTATATACAATATTAGTTATTACTAGGGGCCGGAATTATATTCTTTTAAAATAGCCAAAATAAGATGCTAATATTCTCTTAAAAAGTTGAAAATATTCTTCCAATATTCTTTAAAAATAATAATAAAATATGCAAAAAAAAATGCTTTTTTACTAAAATATTCTCTTGAACTAAAAATATGCATTTATATGCAAAATATTTAAGCAAATAATACGAACTCATATAAATAAATAGGTACATAATATGCAAAATAATATAAAAACCTGATATAAATAGGTACCTACATAATAAAAAATACTACTTGTTAAAAAAAGTTTGATTTAATATTTAATTATTTTAAATTTTTAACTAAGAAAATGTTTGAAAACAGTTGACAACTATATTTTGTTCCATGTTCCCTGATGTCATATTTGTACAACGGTCGGTTAAAATGTTTTTATATGTGCTATTTATATTATTTAGGCCACTGCAACAAAAAATATCGAACATCTACAAAAATTAATCGATATATTCTCTAATATTTTTTATTATACGAAATATTCTTTTATCTTGAAATATTCCCAAATATGCAAAATAAACTTTTGCCATTAACTCACCTGTTTCATGATTTGTAAAGATTTCGAACCCCCGTCTGACTGCATAGACTCAAAAAAAATATGCAAAAGAATATAATTCCGGCTACTAGTTATTACATACAGATCATAATGGTTGTATTCTTGTATCGAGGGGTGCTTATTACTTATAGCTTATGCCTTATACGATTAAAAAAAAAAATGTTGAGGGGGGGGGGGGGGTAATTGGTGAAATGTACATACATTTCATCCCCCCCCACAACCATGACCAAATTACGCCACTGATGGTATATGTAGTGTATGTGAGTTTGTGTATTGTGTGAAGTAACATAATATACGTATCAGCTAATGTAATTTATTGTAATTACGTATTTGTAATAATTGTAATTTTTTTATTAAAATAAATAAATATTATTATACCTGCTTGTATTAAGTATTTTAAATTAAGAGCAATAATCATTGTGTATTCTTCTTCTGTCGATTGCAATTACGCAGATATTTTTTTTTATATACATTTACAAAATAGTTGCAATGTGGACATGTTCAAAAACCATAATAATGTTATAATTCCATAAAATTTTATTTCTAAACTTACTCTTCTTCGTTTCTCCGATGAATTAACAATTTCGATTTTTATACGTTTTTATTTTTGAATTTAAATGTCAGTGCGATATTATTGTTTTCTCTCTCTGGCCCATGCGCAACATACTACATAGCATATTTGTGTTCAGCAGAACCATAACCTTATGTTGTTAGCTTTAGTATTAGAGTGAACTGACAATGATACAACTTTTGTTTTTTTCGGTGTTTATCAAAGTTACAAGTACCATCTAAAATGTTTCAATTTAAAATGCTCAAACTTGCATAAAAATGTATATATCATAAAAAAAAAAAACGTAAGAACACAAATTAACTCGTATTAACCTTAAGTATGGTAATAGATCAATTAACTCTAATACAAAAAGCTGACAGCACAAAGGTTTGTGGGTTAGAGTGTAAAAGCAAATTAAAATTGAACGCACTCGTAATTGAAACGTATGTGGCATGCAACGATTGTGCACTATTCGTATTTTTCATACTTGATGCTGATGTGAAACTAATTCCTTCGGTACTTCGGTAGTAAGTGGCGTTAATTTTTTGACTTTGAACTCATTACATAGAATTATACAACGATAAGATAATATTATAAGTTATATCCAATAACGATAATAACAGTGCCAGAAAGACAGATAACAATAGCTTGAAAATATTATATAGGTACCAGATGATTATATTTTTTTGTTGATCAAAAAGAATGAATACCTATATATAAAATATTATTGAAGATAACATTTTCGATTATCTATCTCCTTTAAATAATATAATTATTAATAAAAAAAATTAAAATTAAATTACAATTTTAAAGATTCAAAGTAAGATTCTAAATACGTACGTATAAAACTAAATAAACAAATATTAATTTAATATTTTTAAAAAATTGTACATGATAAAAAGAAAACTATAAAAATAACATTATATTCAAACAAACACGAATAAAACGAACATAGATTAAAATTATTTACATAGCTTAAAATATAAAAAGAATTTGATTTAAGGTAAATTGCACAATAACCATTCATTCATAATTTTTAGATTCTGAGTGGAACGATGAATGTATTGATTTTACAATAATGTGTGTTTTTTTACTTTATCGATTCCAGCAGCTGTTTCATCCTTAATTTTGAGTCATATAGAGTTGGTACATTTAACGGGCAACGAAGTGCACGGGGTCAGCTAGTATTATATATTATATCATAAAATATATAATGGAAACCACACGAAAACCTTACGAAAAATTAGTCCAAAAATATGTTTCTGTTAAAATAAAATTAGAAGTTCAAAATTTGAATTACATACAACTTTTTGTTAAATTTCATTATTTTGTAGATTTTTTAAATAGTTCTTACGCAGTTTTTTATTTAGGAGCATATACAAAGCTATTCATACCTACATATTAACAATTATTACTATACTTTTAAAAAACATTCCAAATTTTTAACAACTTATTAATTATTCAGAAGAGTTTTCAACAATATACTAAACTGAGCATCAATCAGAAACTTTTTTAAAAATGTATAAGCTATACAATTATTATCATCACATTCGAATTCTTAATAATAAATAATAATACTCGATAAACTCTATCCTGCGCCGAGGTGATCGAAGTGAGACAATTAGTGTCCAACACTAGGCGCCTGCAATGTATATTTCGTGCATTTTAGCAAATACCTGTTTAGAAAAATTTGCAGTCCCCTTAAAAATTTGTTGAATTTTCATAATAATTGGTGTCTGATAAAATCATTTATCAATAGTTCATGGCAGATCTTCTTGAACTTATTTTTGACAAGTGTATACATTTCATGATGATTATTCAAAAATATCTTTTTACATGAAACATTTATTACTATTAATTTGTATAGGTGTCTTTATTAGACATTAACGAAGAAATAGGAAATAATGCGATCAGTGAATTAGAAATCAAATACAAATCGTCTTCAAGTAGATTATTATTCATAAAGTGTGATGTTACCAATGAAATTGAATTCGAAGGTAAATTATGATGTCAATAGTTCATGTTTAGTATAAACATAACAAATTACAATAATTTATATAGAATTCAGAACATTTTTTAATTTTTTAATTTTTTTTTTATATATATTTTTAGATTCGTTTAAGAAAACTATTGAGAAATTTGGAAAAATAAACATTGTTGTTAATAATGCTGGTATCATGTCCAAGTATTTGACTTCGTGGGAGCTGGCCATCGATTTAAATTACGTAAGTAGCCAAGTATATAAAATCATCTAAATCTTGCACCAGTAATATTTTCATATTGCCACGATCTTTATTTAATTTAGTCAAAATCACTGTTGTACTAGTATTTATTAATGAGGGTTAACGAGATACAAAACAGGAACAGTTCTAATATTATTGTTTGTTATTTTTAAAAGTATCAGTTCTTATATTAAATGTTTTTATACCATCGGATTATAGAAAGCAGTAGTCCGTGGTACCATACTAGGTCTCAAATACATAGAAAACAAAGTAGACAACAACTCTGCAGTGATTAATGTAGCATCGATAGTTGGACTATCCAACACAATCTTACCCATGTATCAATCGACCAAAAGAGCCGTTATCGATTTCACAAAATGTATTGGAGTGAGTATACCGTGAATACCTTACAATATATTTCACAATACGAACATTTTTGTTATTAATTCTTATTTTAAGACTTATATGTGTATAAAAGCTATTCTTTTTAATATTAACAACCGAATTGTTATGCGTTTCAAGTGTCCGGCCAATGCGAAAGCCACCGGAAATAACGTTAGAGTCATGGCCATTTGTCCTGGCGCAACGTTCGACGGATTTGAAAACAACATTGAAGGGAAAAAAGCTTTAGAACAAGAAATTGAGGAGTTAATTACGAGTGGTGAAGAGATCCCGAATCCAAATAGAAAACTAATAATACAGAGGTAATGTGCATCCGATCACGTGATTACGTTAGGGTGTTACATTTGTAGTAGATAATATGAAAAAACTTGAACATTTTTATTACAGCACTGATTACTATAAAGCTGCATTTCTTCACGTTATGAAAAACGGCAAAAATGGAGAAATTTGGATAGCCGAAAATGAAGAGCCTCCTAGACTTACACATTTCTCTACTCAATATTAAAATATATCAACTCCTAATGGAATTTTAATTTTCTATATTTTACTGATTATGATAAAATTATTAATTAAAACATTAATTTGATTAGCACTTTTACTTTAAAATGGCAACTTATTCTAAATTCTACGATCCGAAGCAGAATGTTTATAATATGATGTTTTTGAAGGTTAATTATGAAATATTGAAATAATAAAGTTTTGTTTAAACTAATTAAGGTTTGAGCTGAATAGTCGGAGGTGTGAAATTTTTATTTTCATATTTACAGCCTTACAGGAAAGCCTTTTTTAGTTTTTACAGGCATACAATGGTTTAAAATTGCATGTAATACATATGGGTAAAAATCTTAGAAAAAAAATGTTTATCAAAAAATGTGTATTTTTTTTTTTGCTTACAAATCGATATAACTCCATATGATTAAAAATATAATATTATAAAAATGTACATCTTCATTGAATACCTATAGGTTACTGTAATGTATGTGTTAAATTTGAATTAAATTACAACTGAGCATTAAGTTATCTGATCCAGTCTATTTTTATCTACCTATTGATTATAAAAATAAGTTTTCATTTAACGAAATGTATGGTGAGCAGAAATTGTCTCTTGGAATCTTGGACTTAGTCATGGTGATGAATTGATCAGTCGGTTTTCAAAAAGGTTATGGTTAACATGTATGTCAAGTTTGCAACTTAATGTTAGTGAGCTTAATATTTGTTGATTTAATATTTATTCAAAATTAATTGTTTAGAACCAATAATATTAAAAAGAAAAAAGGGGAAAGTATAGATAACCACTCTGCATCTCTGCTGTACAGTAGGTTTCGAGTGTACTTTTTCATTGAATAAGTCTCAGTAATTGATGTGTTAAATTGTAATTCAATGATATTATGATAAACCATTGCATACGAAAAACTATTATGGGTGATACGGTATGTAAGGCATTAGCATACAATTAATCTAAATGTTTTTAAAATGTCATAGGTAGTGTATATTATGTATATAAAACATAATAATATAGGTACGTAAAAATTTCAAGTACCCACAAGGAATATATTTTTTAATTTCAACAAAATAACTGATATCGTAATTTTTGGCTTTGTACAAGGAAGGCCAATGTCATATTTGGACAAATTTGAGTTTATTTGACCGATTTCATTAAACTTTAATTTTAAAATGTTTGTGTATATTTAAAATACTGGCCAATTGGCTTTTTTAATTCCTGAACATTATCAAAATATGACATTGGCTTTTGTTGCACCAAGCTACAGCGTTATCCTTTGTTTCTAATTTCTAATATCTAATTTCATCAACATTTTAACTTCAAATGGCTTTAAAAATTGTGTGGTTACTGGTTAGGATAGGTTAGATTTTTTGGTTTCAGTATGAACTACTTATGAAGAACCTTCATTCAATTTTCAAGCCTTAATTATAAAAATTCAACGGCCACACCTTCCCAATCATCAACCTTTCATCCATATAGCAATCAGGATAGGTTAGATTTTTTGGTTTCAGTATGAACTATTTATAAAGAACCTTCAATAAATTTTCAAGCCTTAGTTATAAAAATTCAACATTTAATACATTTATAACTACACAATTATTTGGAAATTGTTGGTGATTTTGATAAATTTGATTAAAATTTGAACTTCAAAAGCTTATGAAAAAAAAATCCACCATACGTATTTTACAACTTTTATATGGTTAATAATTAGTAATAAACAAATGTATCAGCATTTTAAAAATAAATTTGACAATTCAAATTATGACTAGAGAGACATAAAAAACGCACTTTTAAGCCCATTATCAGTATTGCCACCAACTATTATACTAATGTCAGTTTACACAATAAATTTTTATTCATGACCAATTCAACAATGTCGGCGATGATTAAAAAAAACATCTACAGCAATTATATGATATACAATACAATTTGAAACTAAGCTATTGGCACCTCAAATCTCAATATCTAATTTATACAAGGTAATATTATATTGGTTTTACTTGTCACTTATCTTATTACCTACATAATGTCGAAACCTCTCTCTTTCTCTCTACGCTTAATTAATAACACTAATAAGTAGATTACATTTAAGTCTTCACAGTGAAATATTAAAAAAATATACTATAATCATAAACAAGTTAATAATTTATAAAACAAAAAAAATAAAAGTACCTTTTTAAAAAAGGCTAAAAATAAATAATTGTAAAATCTAAGACATTCTAAAATCATTATACAAATAAACCATATGCCTATAAAATAATGGAAAATAATTGTAACATTATTCAGTATTGTCGTTTCGAGTATTAAATATAGATAGAAATGGTTATTTTAAGCTGTATCATATAATATAATTTTAGATATAAATATATCACCTAATATTTGGTTAATCTAAAATTTAAAAAATAAGTCTATAATTAAAAACTATAGTCTATAACAACACTACAGTTCGCTTTTTATATTAAAATTGTTTGGTGATCTCAATTTATTTAAACCAGATAATAAAGGTAGTTCACTCCAAAATTTATACTTCTCCTCGAATGGATTTTTCATAAGTTTTGGTTGGACTGAATCTATGTGCAGTAAAGCTGATTCTCCAATAGAAGTAAATACAGGCCAAGCTTGTCCATTGTCAGTTCCATCAACAGTAGGTATTCTAAAACAATTAATTTGTTATGGTATGTTTCTTTTAATTTTAGTACCTACACAACTATAGGTAGTGAGTACAGCTTATTTTATCTTATTCGAAATTTGAAATTGTTGATGACTTATAAATAACTTAAATAGTAAATTATGTTAAATTTATTTTTATACCGGGTTTCAATATAACTGAACTTATTAATTTAATCATCATACTCACTTAGATGATGCAAACTTGACCCAAATATTAACCATGAGCTTTGACACTTTTGTATCTTCGTCGTTTAATCCTTTGGGATTCAATTCCTTCAATTGAAACAAGCTAATCAATTCATCAGCGTGACTTACTCCAAGAGGCTTTTTACAATCACCATACAATTGGTTGAATGAAAACTCATTTTTATAATCAAATAAATAAAAATGGACAGGTGAAGATAATTGAATGCTCATGTCCAGAGAACACGTGATAAAAGTTCCGTCTCCGATCATCTATAATTGATAAAATAAACAATATATTTCAATGTTTGTAAGACCGATTTATTTATAAAATTATATATTATATAGTACTTTGACTGTATCCAAATGTGAGTTGCTCTCTATCTTTCCCGATGGAAAATACATTTCCATGATCCGATTACTAATTTCGTCAAAATGTTTAGGCATTGACACATGTTTGTACATTAATAAAATGGGCAACAGACGATTAATATCGGTAGACAGTTCCGGATATTGAAGAGAAGTTTCATTGAATAAAGCTGAAAATATGAATTCTAAATTCAGGGTCAGATTGACATATTGGGAAATCGGGAACTTTTGAAAAGTATGGTCTATAAGTGGGTCACTCAATTTATACTTAATGATAATCAATTTTGTTTTGTAAAATCGCATTTTATAAATAATATTATGTTTGTACAATTATTGATATATTTAAAAAGTATATTATACGCTTTGAAGTGATGCATATCAATAATAATTAACATTTGCATACAAGTATCTTCGATTGCTTCCCTTAACTCAGGTTAAAGCTTTTACAATATTGCTCCTCTGTTCCTTTACACACGGTCAAACGACGCCCATGCTCTAACTTAGTACGCACACGTTTACACACGACCCATAAGCACAAACACATAGGAAATTGCCTATATTGAACTCCTGAAAAATGGTCGGCATTGATTCCAAAACGTAAAATATAATAATATTATTGCTACTTATATTATTACCGAAAAACATATTTTTTACCAAAAAATAAAATAAAAAATATTGCAAAGTCCTCCATGGCTTTGTAGAGGTACGTCACATATCTTTATATAAAGTGTGTAGTATGAAATTTAGATATCTAAATACCTTATGCCTTATACCTTATACTATACCTACTTATAGCTTACATATTAGGTACATAGTATGTAGATATTATAGACATACGTAATAAAGTAAGCAATAAAGAAGGGTGGGGTCTACAAAATAAACTATGCAGACTGATTTTTCAACATAAGACATTCATTTCTAAAACAATAATTAATATTTTTGAATTTTTTTACATAGTTTAGTCATTAAAAAAAAAATATATATATTTTTAAAACAACTATTATTTTTATTACTTCTGTCGGTTTAAAATTATACTTAAAACTGTAAGTTAATTAGGTAGTAATAAAAGTATTAAAAGTTTAGATGCGTGGAAGTTTCCTTCTTGAATACAAGATTACTAATAAATTCAATTTTGAAACTTTTATTTTGCAACTTTTTATATTTGTTGACATTTTTGATTAATCAGGTCTTTTTTGGCCTTTTTAGGTATTGTTATTAAATTTTTATACTCTTTTTGATATTAATAATGTCCGTCTATTAATACTTTTTATACACATTTTATGAATTATTTTTAAATTTTCGTCTTACAAACATTTTACATAATCTGAACACACGTCGTATTTAATCAATAATATATCTTTAATTTTAAATATCTTACACCTGAGATATTTTTATATTTTTAAAACTATGAATCGTTTATTTACTTACAATGAATTTTAGACTGCATTTTTGATATTTAAATGCATTTAGAAGATCTGGTACCTAGTGCATTTTAAACTGTTTTTTTACAGATTTTAAGAGCATTTTTAAAGTTTTTTAAACCGTTAAATTGACAGATCTACCTACCTATAATTAATAGTATCTAGGTATTAGAATATACATTTAAATATGAATTTACTATTTTGTCATTCAAAAAATTGCGAAATTTATAAAATGATAGCGATAAAATATAGTAAAAGTTTATTTTTTCAAGTACTATGTTTTAATAATGACTTAAAATTACGTACCTAACAAAATATTTTCAAAAATGTTAATAGGTATTTTATGAAATATTACATCAT